TTTTTTTTTTTTTTTTTATAACAAGTCACGGCACCATTTCCTTTTTAGACGACGCCCGTGGTTTCCCGGTATATTTTGAGTGTAGAGGCTCTTTATCAATGGATTTTGGTGGGTTTGTAGGCGATTATGAAAGCGTTTGTAGAAATTTACAGCTTCTTCTGTCACGGTTTTCATTGTGAGGTCTTTATGTAAAGTATAATTGGACACAAAAGGTGGAGCATTTGTAATTTTTCTGAGAGCAATATTCTGGAACTGTTGGATTTTTTTGGTATTAGATACTTTAGCAGTACCCCACAATTGAAGACCATAAGTCCACATTGGTTTTAGTAGTGCTTTATACATGAGAACTTTAACTTTTAGTTTTGATTGTTTATTATTTGTAAGCAAGGGACGTAAACTGCGGAGTCGGGCATTTAAGGCAAGTCTTTTGATACGGATGTGGGCATTCCAAGTAAGGCGTTTATCTAAATTGAGTCCTAGGTATCTGACTGTGTTAGACGTTGGAATAGGAACATTATTTAAAGAGACATTTGGACAGATGGAGTGACATAAAGTGAATGTTGTATGTACTGACTTATTTGGATTTGGTTTAATTCGCCATTTCAAGTACCATTCTGACATTAAATTCAGATGAATTTGAAGGTTCGAAGATGCAATTTGGGGGTTTTTGTCAATTGAGATTATGACTTTGTCATCCGCGTAATCGGTTACTATAGTATTTTGAGAGACAGGCTGGTCTGATGTATAAATATTGAATAAAAGGGGTGAGAGGATCCCACCCTGAGGGACACCAGCGAAAATTTTTTCAATTTCCGAAACAGAAGATCCAACCCTGATTTGGAAATGGCGGTTTGTTAAATAAGACTTAAGCAGTAAGTATAAGGAGGGGGAAAGAAATTTTTTTAATTTGAACAGAAGGCCTTCATACCAAACTCTATCAAACGCTTGGCTTATATCGAGAAATGCACAGGTGCAGTAATATTTTTTTTCTAGGGAAAACGAAATTGCGTCGACCAACCTGTGCACTTGATGTATTGTGCTATGCGCCGAGCGAAAGCCAAATTGAGAGTCTGGTAAGATCTTATTCTTATCGAGGTAGGGTAAAAGTCTTTTAAGTATTAGTCTTTCTAATACTTTTGCTAGAAATGGCAATAGGCTTATTGGCCTGTACGATGAAGGTAAGTCTAGTGGTTTGTCAGGTTTGGGAATTAAAATTATATTGGAGAATTTCCATAGGAGTGGAAAGTATGAGAGACGTAAGATTGAGTTAAATAAATGGGTTAGGAATAGAATAGCTTTTTTTGGTAGGCACCTAGCGACTTCGGCGGTGATTAAGTCGAAGCCGGGTGATTTTTTAAGGGTATACTTCTGTATTGTAGATTTAATTTCGTTTGGTGTAAAACTTTTTTCGGGAAGATAAAGAGGCAAGGGAGAGTCAAGATACTGAGTTATTTCTGCGCTGAGAGTCGGGTTAAATATATCAGGATGTGGCTTAAATATTTCAGAAAGGTGTTGACGGAAAACTTCGGCTTTATCTTCATCAGTTACAGCAAGAGTAGTATCATTTTTTGTTAAGGGTGGCAAGCTAGCCTTATACCGTAGTAGTTTATTTGTTTCTTTCCAAAGGCTGCCGTCTGAGGAGGATATATTTGATAACTTTTGTTCTAGGATATCGGATTTATATTTTGAAAGGTATTTTTTAAGCGAGTTGGCTAGGTTATTGTACATTATTTTATGAGAAGGTAGGCGAGAGGTTTGATACCGTGCTCTGGCTTTCCTTTTTTCAACTATTAGCGAGCGAATGTGTTGTGGGAGAAAGGGGTTTTTGGGAATCTGAAGACTTTTTGAATTTGACTGTGACTCCCAGGCCGCTGTTTGAATGATAGAAGTGAATTTATCCACTGCATTGTCAATATCATCATATGTTTTTAATTTGAAATTTAGATTTATCTCTTGTTCTACTAAGTTATGAAATTTGATACGGTCTGTAAGTGGAGAAAAAAGTTTAGGAGATGTCATTTTAACTGTTGGGGAAGCACTGACTGTTAAGAGAACTGATGAATGGTCGGAATTTAGATCTAAGATATTTTCTGGGGTGCAATATAAGTTACTTGGCACTTTACTAACAAATATGTCTAATATGTCAGGTTTTTTACGTATAGAAGATGGCCAGTATGTGGGACCCGGTGGAGCCAATACTGAGTATTTTTTAGCATTGGTAAAATTATAGAGCACATTACCACGCGGGTTGGCTGCGCGACACCCCCAGCTCTGGTGTTTCGCATTTATGTCGCCACCAGTTATAAAATTGGAGTTAATTGTTGAGAAGTAGTCATTAAACTGAGGAGCTGAGATGTTGTGTTTCGGGGGACAGTAGATTGAGGCAATAGTGATCGGTATGTTATTTAGCTTAATTGTGACAGCACAGGATTGTAGGTAATCACGGGTAAAATTTGGTAGTGGTGAGAAAGACAGGGTAGACTTGATGATTATGGCAACACCACCATGAGCCGTGTTGTCTGGATGATTTGACTTGTAAGTAATATAACCTGGGATATGTACCTGGGAATATTTGGTGAAGTGTGTCTCGGTTATTAACGCGATATCGATACGTTTTTCGTATAAGACAGTTTGTATTTCGTTTACGTGGTTTTTTAAGCCGTTTGCATTAAAAAGGAGAATGATAAGAGACGTTTTTGTGGGTGAGTTATTTATCATTTTTATTATTTAAAAGTGATGAAATTACTTGTGTTAATAGGGCAATTAATGGATTAATTAGTGATTTAAAGTTGTCAAGAAAATCTGACATTGTTTTGTTGATGTCTAACGTTGAAGAATGGTGTTTGCTGTGACCTGTATTAGTTGTTTCGTAAGTTTCATTAGATGTAGCTTGAGCATATGTTTTGAGAGGGGAGTGGGTGTTGGGATTAATATTAGTCGGTAATGGGTGATTTTCTTTTACATTGAAATTATTATTATTATAATTGATTATTTAAATTTACAATTTGACATTTTGATAATTGATAAGAACCCTTGTAACCTCAAAATAAATATTTAATCCCATGTGATAAGTTGTAATGGCCTATCCATTCTTCTATTATCTATGGTTATACGCGTTACACAAAAGCAAACTCATGTTAGTTATATAATATTATCATTTTAATATTTGGAATATAAAAACAAAAAAATTAAATTAAAATCTCAAATTACAAATTTATTAATACAATTTTCTTTCATTATTAATAATGCAATATTAATTACGTCGGCACTCGGTATATTAGGACCTATTTAAAATTTTTAAAAATTATTAATTTAAGTATAATATTTTATTTAGATAAATTGACACAGATAACCATTAAATTCATCTAGAAAAGATAATATATAACCACTCATTTTTTTATATAGATAAGATAATTAAATGAATAATATTATCTAGATAATTCCATTATTTCATAAACATGATTTCCGACTTTCTGAGAAAAATTCATAACTTTGTACGCTTATAATTAGTTTCATATGCGAAAAGCCATTCACGAATATGGACTGTTAACTTGTGAGTCGAATCAAAACACGAGAGTTGAAGAGTTGAATAGAGTAGCGGTAATCTGATTGAAACAAAGAGTTAAAAAATTGAAGGTAGACTATTTGATTTAACTCATTGCACTGAACTGAGTTGAAGGTACAGTTCAGCAGAATGAGTTGGAATTTTCATCCCTAATTATGTTTATTTTATATGGATATCATATGGTAAATACAGTATGACCACATTGGAGCAATAACCAGATAAGCCCTGATTTATCTGATTGTTGCAACAAAAATAAAAACAAGAGTAATACAATTCTATTATAAACTATGTTTATATTAATCGGATTTAACTGATTGTTGCACCCAAATGTATGTATTTTTTTCCATTACAATAATTTACAAAAAAGTGGATTTACTTGGTTGTTGTTCCAAGCCCTTCAATTGTAGTTGACTAACGTGTTTTTAAGCATTGTACAGTGTTGCTCGTGATTACACTTTTATTGTGCACTTATATCTTATGGCTCGTCAGTTTGAGACTTGATAAGTCTTTAAATGTTCAGTGTTATGTATAAGCGTTTTTTTTTAGTACGTAAAGTCTTACGCTGATTATCATTTTTGTGTTTTGGTAGTATGGTCTTGTTTCCACATTATTAACGGTTTTTATTTTTACGTCTGAAATATATTCGTCTCTGCATTTTTCGTATTTTTCATACATTAAAAATCTATCACTGAAGAACTTTGTATTATTACTTAAAGTTTTAAATGATTATCGTGACTCTTGATTCTTTTAATTGTGCTGTATTGTAATAAAAGTATGAACCACTGAACCATTGATTCCATTAAATCCATTGATTCCGAAAAAAAAAAAATCATTGGTTTAACTTATAATTGTTTACAATTCATCACTCCATAACAATATGGATGTATCGAGTTTAATAAACTCAATTTTAGCAGACGATGGATATAATGCATTGTCAGAAGATACTAAAAACAAGTTTGAACAGTATTTGCATACTCCTACAGTTCGTTCCGATGACAAAACAAGTGCGTCAAATAGTAAGTAATTTTGAAACCTAATAAGGGTTACTTATTAAAATTATTTTTAAATCTATATCTACTTATGTATGATAGAATCTGGTAGCAAACCAGATATTGATTTTGATATGCTCAACAATAGTACTAGTATACGAGAAGCCAAATTTATGGAATTACAAAAAGAAATTGAAATAATTAACGATCAATTTAAAAATACATTAAAACAAAAACATGAGTTGATGTTACACAATGAAACTCTGTTAAAAAATTTACATGAAGCTGAAATTAGGTAAGTTAGAAATATTAATTATTAACTTTTTTTTTTAAATATATATATATATCACTTTATTTTAGAATATTACAATCTATACAGGTGTACAATAAGTTATAATTATAGTGAAAACAAAAATTAGAAACTAAGTATTAACTATATAGGTATCTATCTACTTTAAATAATTATTACTTATTTCATGTATATTTCTAGAGAAAGAATGACTAAAATGGATGATGGAATATTGCAGTTAAAAATTGATACATTAACTGATAGTTTATCCAAATGTACTCATGAATTATCAGATCTTCAATCAAAGTACCACAGAGAAGTAAATGAATTAAAACCAGATTTAGAACAAAAAGAAGCAGAGGTAAAATTTAAATATTTTTTAAATTTAGGATTGAGTTTTTATAAATTATAACACACAATATAATAACATATTTTTATTCTTGAAAAATATAAATTATGACTATAGGTTGAACTTAAAAGTTACTAAATTATTAATTATTTATCTATGTGATCAAAATCATAATTAAAACCAAGTTTTTAATAATTAAAAGTGTTTTTAAATATGCTATTCTATGGTTTATCAATTTTTTAAACTAACCATAATGATATACTAGTGATTTATTTAATGGTACTTTGTAAAAAAAAAAAATTAAAATAAGAAATTAAATTTTATAGTGTAATCTTAATTATTATACATGAGAACCATGGTTTTAATTAATTTTTATTAGAATTATTTCTTTTAAATATTGGCCATAACTATGATCAACATGGTTTATTCCTGGTTTATTATTTACCTGTTTAAGCATCAATTAGCCTATAACATTAGTTTTATTGACTTCCAATTTCTCATTCATCATAATCACCTTAATCATGTAGACTTTGGATTTTATATATTTTATTTTCAAAAGTCTTGTTATTTGATAGCAAATTACTTATCAATAGGGCTCGGAATTTAATGCACATAAAAAATACTAAATATGCATGTGCTTAAAAAAGTACAAATATGCTTTAAAAATATACACTTAATTTTTTTGAAGTCAAACATTTTCATAAATAAAAATATTTTACTAAATATATTTGTATATAACAACAGTACACTGTACTGAAATTTGAAATTTTTCTTTCAAAATGTTCCCATCAAATTATATATACAGTAGGGTCTCGATAATTCGAACGAGATCTGGGAAAGGGGTCGTTTAGATTACTGATTTGTTCGGATTATGTATGGCTTAACAAAAACATCGATTTCATTTGAATTTATATTATGAAATTTATTTTTATTTGCAATCTTAATCATGTAAAAACTTGTAGTTCACAATGTATACAAAAACTTATTATTATAATTATATATGTGTGTATGTAAGTACAGCCAGTTAATATAATATTTATAGCGATTTGGTACTGCTCGAGCTCGTTCGGGTTATCAAGACCCTACTGTATATCTGTAAAGCATAAATAAAAATTAGAAAAAATGCTTTTTTCTATTTTTTGAACCCAATTCATAAGTAAGAAATAAGTTTTTTTTTAGCTGCAAAATTATTGTTTTGAACCACTAAACATTTTTTAATGTTTTCAAAAGTTAAGAGATCATCGATTATTCAATTAATGCAATCAACTATAATCATTAAATTATTACAGTTAAATATAAATAAAACTGGACATTTTATGTTAACCTGGGATTTGAGAATCATGATAGAATCATCACAATATCTAATGAAAACTCTTAGGCGGCTCTCACACCGGAGCAATAGGCAACGAGCAACTAGCAATCGTCGATAAGCAATAATATTGCTAATTGATTAATCTCGTAGAAAATAATGAATATTCTCACACCGAAGCAACACGATGTTTCCTGTTGCGAACGTGTAGCAACATGCGTTGCCAGTGATACGGCTGTCGTGTTGCCGGTCGATATTTATTGACAGTGTTGAGCAATACGAGCTTCGTATTCGTATGGTTTTTTTTTTATTATATTGTTATACATATGTAAATTTGTGTTACCTCATGTTCAATTTTTATTAAAATTAATTAATTAAATTAAAAATGTGTGATGAATCCGCGTTGAACATAAAATTTGTAGAATACGTCGAACAGTATCACGTTTTGTAATACTATGTTCAATTAAATTCAAAAGTTGTTTAAATGTATCTGGGCTCATTCTATAACAGCTTTTGAACTGCAGTGGATGAAGTTTAAGTTCATCTGCATAGACATTTGCACCATATTTTGCAAGTTGTTTAAACGCTGGGTTAATCCAATATTTACGTTTTTTATTTTTTATTTTACTTCTTCTTAAATTCCACCAGAATAATAAAATATCGTCTTCATCAGACGATGACATGGTTGCTACTGCGTTGCTTATATTTGAGAGCTAGGGGCAATACGTATTGTCTGTTGATTATTGTTAATTGCTAGTTGCTCGTTGCCTATTGCTCCGGTGTGAGAGCCGCCTTAAAATAAATGTTTTATTATTGCTAACATTTTTAAATGTTATTATTACTTCATCAATAATCATCAAATATACTCTTAAAAATGGCAAAATTAAGAAATATGCGCTTAAAATTGATAAACCAAAATAAATGTACAAAAATATGCACTATAAACTTTTAATATGTTTTTCGTACTAACATAAAAATAATTTTAAGCTTACTTAGCAATAAATTGAATAGCTCAATAAAAATATGCAAATGCAACATATTTCAAGCCCTAGTGATCAATCACCATTTGTCTAAAGTGTGAAATAAACTGTGTTGAATTGATTTACAATAAAACCCTGGTTTTACAAGCTATAGAGTAATACATCTTTCCATGCTAAAATATTAAACAACAGTAAATTACTTAAGTTAAGAAAAATATAAAGCATGCATGTTTCTATTTTAATGTTAAATATTAAATAATATTTCTCTATTTTACATTTCAAACATTAATATTGAAAAATTACAAGTAAAGTATTAATTATATTAATTTCTTGGAAGTATATAATTACTCTGAGTAAATTTGTTTGAGATTTGCTTATGTTTGTATTGTTGTGTTATTAATGCTTCATTGTAAAATGTTATATTAATTTAAAAATTACAATAAATTAAGAAAAAACATTAATTTATATTTTCAAGGTTTTGATGTTAAAGAATGATGTAAATTTGTTACAAATAAAATATAAAAATCAAGAAAATATTATAAGCATAATGAAACGTGAAATTGATGATTTAAATCTTGAACATGCAAATGAAATTGAACAAATTAAAAAAGAATTAACTAATGTTCATAATTTGATGAATCATTACAAAGGTTTTATCTTATACTTAATACCTTATTTCAGTATTTTTAAAAATACTTATATTATTTTATTTGATATAGAATGTTACGAGAAGGAAGTAGATCAGACAAAAAAGCTTACAGCTAATATTTTAGAGAATAAAGATTATGTATGCTCATTAATAACATCTTTAAATGATGCTGAAAATAAATTCTCAACACTTTCAAATGAATTTGAACAATACAAATCAGCCAAGGAAAATACAATTATTGCAATATCAAACAAGTTGAATGCTTCAGAAGAAATAGTTAAACAATTACTTCCTGGTAACTAGATTCAGAAAATTGTGTATTTGAATTTGCAATATATAAAGTTAAATATTTTTAGATTTATTTTTAAAAGTATATTCCATTTAATATTAAAAAGTAAAATTATCTAAATAATTTCATGACATCATATTAATGACATGCTAAATTAAGACAGCATTAAACATGCTAGTTAAAACAAAATATACTGTTTTCATCTAGTGTACAATTGTTTAGTATTATTTATTTATTTTAAATATATAGAATTATTTAAAACCATTAAACCTAGTTAGTATAGCTTAAAAATAAACATTTTTAAGTTTTAATTTTTTTTTATTCAAAACGTACATAAAATATTAGAGTTTACTTTTACTACTGCACCCATGTTATAAATTATGTTAATTTTATGCAGATAATACAATTTTACTTCTATTTCTCATATTTATAATATTCATACTATGAATTTTTTTTTAATTATATACCTAATATTAATTATATGTATATGAGTTTCATATTTAGTATTGAAAGTTAAAATTAAAATAATTATTTTTAAGTTTAATAATATGTACATAATGAATTTTATTTTTATTACAATCTTTATTTTAGTTGATAAAGAAAATTCCAACTATCTGATTCATCGAGGTACAACAATTACTGATGTATATGCTATTTATAAAGAAACATGTTTAAATTTACAAGATACAACTCGCGAACTTGAAAATAGCAAAAGAAACTTTAATATCTTAAAACAAGTAAAAGCTTATTTTATATTTAACTGAAATTGAATTTTCACAATTATTCAATAAATTTATGTCACACAGTTATTAACTTTATTTCTATCCATACAATACATACATATATATATATATATATATTAGTGTATAATTTCAGTTTTTATATGAGTATTTTTTACAGCAAATCATGGATGCTGCTCCAGCTGTTGATAAATTAGAAACTGATTTAATTCAATCTAACGAAAAAGTAAAATCCTTGTGTGAAGATATTTTAAGATTAGAAACAAAATTAGAAGATGTTAATAACAAATTAGAATTGTCTAATACAAAGTGTGATCAGTTATCAAAAGATAATGAAAAACTTCGTAGTATTGAAGATGACTTGAGCAAACAAGTAAATTATTTTATTTTTAATATATTGATTATTAATTAATGTATTAATTTAATAATTGTTTATATAATATATATATATATAATATAATTTATTAATTAATTTAATTAATGTATTTTATAAAATAAATAATTTGTATGTAAAATGTTGTAGATATGTTTCTTATTACGAAATAATCAATGTAATAAACGTTTTGAAAATCGAAATAGTGGAACAGATATGAGTCCTCAGTCGGTATGTATTCGTTAAAAATAATTACAATTATTAAATATAGATTAACATGATAAAAAAACAAAAAAATGTTTAGATTATTTCAAAAAATTATGTGACATTTGAAAACATTCAAGGTTTGCAAAGACAAAATAAGAAATTATTAGCAGTTCTGCGTTCTTTAACTGTAGAAAATGATGAAAAAGAAGTACAATTAATAAAAGATTTAAAGGTAAATAAATATCGTCAAGTAATAATTGTTTTTGATTTAAAATTAAAATATTGTACCAAATTTTAGAATTTATAAAGTATTTTTACAGTACTTTATAAAAAGCTGATAATATATATATTGTTTGGCATTTTTATTCATATAAATCTTACATTTTTGAATCAATAATATCACATTTGAACTATAATTTTGGATTTAAGTTCATAATTTTTCTTAATAATTGTAAGTAAAATATGAATACAATTTTATTTAAAAACATTGACTTAAAATTTCAACTATTATTAAAATACAAACTTAATTATATTGAAACAAAATTGAAAAATATTCATGATCAGAGATCTTAGTAAGGAGAATCGAGTAACCCAAGGTAACTTGAAGATTATATAATTTATCAGTTATTAAATAATTAATTTAACAAAAGATAATTTCATATTTACAATTTAACCGATTGATGCCTCTTTCCCATTGATTAACATCAAATGGAGGAAAAATCAGATATTAAAATACAATTTACTATTTTTTTTTACATATAGTTATTTAAGTACTGAACCCTTCCCATACCATATATTACTTAGAAACAAAATCTATATTTTTAGGTAGAAGATTATCCACCTTCCTTCGCTTAGAATTGCTTTTTAAAAATCAATAATACATTAATTTGTAATTTAAAAGAACAATATTATCATTATAGTCTCTGTATCTCAGCTAACCCCCATGACTTGCCACTGTTATTCCTGTTTTTGAGTTAATATTTATAATTCTTATGATATGTTTTGTTAATTCAAAGTTTGTTCACAAATTTTATTTAAACTAAATTTGTATTAGTGTACAAATATTTTGTTAATATTATAGTTAATTTTAAAAAATTTTATGTATTTAAAATGTGCTTTGTACTTTATTTTTAATATATCATTTATCATAATGTACTTATATTTCTTTCTATTTCTTCTTTAATTTTTAGGCAAATATTAAAATCTTGGAAGAAAAGCTAGAAACACAGGCTCAATTAATTACACAACAAAAGGTTAGTTTATTTATTTACTTTCTTAAGTATAAGTTTCATTGCATTACAGATCAAAGTCCTTAAAATATCACAAAACCACCATTTATATCTCTAATTAAACCTTATACAAAGATTTTAATGTACCTTACGTTTCCAACGTAGCAAATTAATTTTATGACAGACTTCACTCTAAATTCCTCAACTATCCAAATCCCTTAGAGAGGTAGCATTGAATAATATACCTGGTAATCTCTCTGGTGACTAATGCAACGTTGGTGTAGAGATCTCAAATCAATCTAACCACTATTAATTCTATTGTTATTTTGATATTTTAATTATTTTACTTTATTGTATTTTAATTATTATCATTAACATTCACTAATAAAGTCAAAAAGTGAGGTTTTAACAATAAGTAATTCCCTCATTCAAGCGTATCATATCATTACCATTTATTTTTTATCAATTTCACTTATTGTAAATTTAAATATAGATTGTGAGTATTAAATTTTATAAATAAAAAAAAAATTATAATGCAGTATATAATGTATAATAAAAATATGTTTCTAGAATGAGCGGGACAATTCATTTTTTCTAAATCTATTTTACATTTTTGGTAGTTGGCTTTTTACTGTTGGTATCTTAAATTAATGTTGTAATTGTGTACCATGTTTCAGTCTTAATTGATTTTTTATTTAAAAAATAAAATAACCACAAATTTTGAGTTAACTTCTGATTCTTAAATATATATTTCCGCTCAATCCTACTATTTTTACTTAATATACTTAATAATTAACTTGAAAATTGTTTAATATTAATGTTTAAAAAAAATAATAATAATAATTTATGTGGAATGGAGTAACTAGAGAATATAGAATAAGGAACAAATATGTGAGAAGTAGTATTGATGTAGTGTCGATAGTCGACAAAATGAGAAAAAATAGACTGAGATGGTTTGGGCATGTAATGAGGCGAAAGGAAACAAAAGCAGTAAGAGTGGTTATAAAAATGAACATTGAAGGGAAAAGAGGAAGAAGAAGACCAAAAAAGAGATGGTTGGATATGATTCAAAATGACATAGAGTTGTTGGTGTGTGCGTAAGGGATGTAGAAAATCGAGATGAATGAAGTTTTAGGACAAAAGTGACTGACCCTAGTTGTGAGAAAGGTTGAAGGTGAAGAAGAAGAATTATAATTTTTTATTTTATGTACAGGAAACAATATCCAAAACTCAATCATTAGATTCAAAATCAAATTTACTTAAACAATCAAATGATTTTGAACAAAAGAATGTACAGAGTTCTGTAAGTTAATTAAATATTTCGAAAAATTAATGAAAAAAATGTTTATTAAAAATACTTTTTAGGCTAAATTGGTACTAGAAAATGATAAAGAAAATATTTTCAATCAATCTGAAGAAAATATAGATCAACTCAAACATCAACTTTCTACTGCTAATATAACGATAAACCAATATAAAGATAAACTTGAATCTAATAGTGTTGCTCGTATGCAACTTGAACAACATGTTCAAGGATTAAATCATCAAATTGATGAACTATTTGGGAAATTAAAATCTGCTAATATTAAACATACTGAAAATGCAGAAAATGTAGCTTTTCTACAGAGGAAAATATCTACATTAGAACATGTAAGTGGCTTTAAAATGTTTTAACTTTGATTTTATGAAAATGTATGAATTGGATTTTATTTTTACATTATTTGTGATTGATAGGAAAACAGTGAGCTCAAACTTGAGTTTGATAAATTTAAAAGTCAATACAATAATTTGAAAAAGGAAAATGATAATATGTATTTATCAAATATGAATTATTCTCGTGAATTAAGACAAAAATCTGAATTACAAAAAGAATTTGAAAAAACTCTAGCTTCTCAATTAGATTCATTAATTATTAATTGGAATGTAACCTTAGCTTATATTGCTGAAACTGATTATGATAAAGTTAAATTCAAAGATGAATATAAGAAACTAACCAAAACATTAAAGGTATTTTACTTTAATAATTTATTTATTAATTATGAATTTATCATTTTTATATTTCCTTCAATTATTTTTTAATGCATAAGGATGTTCGGGATAATTTACTTATAAAATTAGAAGCCATTGAAGATTTGAGTACATCTAGGGAAATGTCTCGATCCAGAACAAATTCATTGAGTTTATGTTCTGATGAAAGATCTAACTTCCAAAATGTTGTTAATAAGCTTGAACATGAAGTAAAAAATTTAAAATCCAAACTCAATGAAAGTGGTAATTATTAAACATTTGTTTTAATACTTACATAATTTATCATATTTATTTTGCTATCATTATTTCATTGAATTATGTGTAATGGAAAACTTAATTTTAGCTTTCCTACTTAAGGATTTAATTTTATATCTATAAATTATAAGTTAAACTAATAGATTGAAAAAAAAAAATATTTTTTCATTGTGATTTTTGATGTTATCATATATTTACTATGACAGACCAACTGAAAAATCAATTAAAATCAGAATTAAATGTGACCAAACAACTGTATAAATCATTGGAGGAGAATTTGAAAAAAATGAGTGAGTACTCTTCTCAATTAGAGAATGAACGTGATATTAAAAAAAAAGAAATTTTAGAAAAGGATCAACAATTAGTAAATGTGTAAGCTTTTATATGATAATTTTAGAGTAAATTAACATTTTTAATATATTATATAATTATTATTTATTCTATAGTATGCAAGAGTTAAGTGAATTTAACTTATCTCAAAAGGATAACATTATTAAATTACAAAATCAGTTATTAGAATATGAACAGAATAGTAGTAAAGTGTTAGAAGAACTAGAAATGGCCAAAAATTATAGTGATGGTCTATTAAAAACAATTACAGAACAAAATAATAAAATAATAAAACTTGAAGAAGAATTAAAAAAATCTGTTGATGACAAAGATAAATTAGAAAAAGGATTAAATCATAAATTAGCTCATTACAAAAATAAGTTAGAAGTTAGTTATTGATCAAAAATTAAAACTATAATTAAATTTTAAATTAATTATTTTTAAATTATTTATAGAGATTAGATGCATTGGAGTTATTTAATAAAACGAAATCTACAGAAATAGATCATTTGAAAAACCAAAAAGCTACAATTGAAAAATCTGTTGAAGAAATGAAAGAAATGCATAAAACGCAAATAATGAAGTTAGGCAATGAAATTGATTGTCTAAAAGAAACAATAAAACGCTGGCAGTTTGAAAATGAATTATTATCAGATCAGTACAAATTAATAACTAATGAACTAATGAATTTAGAACGTTTGGTATGAATTAAAACAAATTTTTTCTTAAATTATTCTATTATCATATATTTCATATTATAGAATAACAGTAAAGTATCAGACAAAGATGATAGTTTGAATACTTCTTCTATGGATACAAATGTTTTTGATAAACAGCTTACAAAAATGGCCAAATTGATAAATATTTTAAAAGAAGAAAAACACTCAATCATTTTTGAATTAAACAAAACAGTTACTGAATCTAATAAGTAATTTCTTTAATAATACATATTAAACTTATTGTAAAACTCGTTTATAATCTAATATTTTATATATAATTTAGACTGAAATCTGATTTACAATACAAATCAAAAATAATTGATGATTTGCAAAATCAAATGAAAGAACTTAGACAGTTGCATACATCTGGCTTAGTAATTAATTATGATCACTCTAAAATTTTAGAAAAGGTATGTTTATACCTTATAACCTATAAATGTAATTGTATTATTATTTGAAGTAATGTTTTATTTTAATTTTGAAACATTTTCAGATAGAGTTTTGCAATCAAATTGAAGAAAAAAATAAAATTCTAGAAGAAAATAATGTAATGCTAACCAGTCAACTTAAAGAGTTACAAGAATTAGATGTAAAAAAAACTGCTGAGATTACTGCTTTAAAAGATGATATGTCAGGAATGCAAAGTTTAATTGATCAAAAAGCAGCTGAGGTATGATTTTGTTTAAGTTTAGATTGTCTTAAATTTATTAGATTTTCTTTTGACTTTTTTTTCTTGGTATAAAATTCTTAATATTCATTGTGTTTGAATGTGACTTACGTTAATGCAAAACAATTGTAGGTTATATTTTAAATTTAAATATTGTGTTATTTGAAAATTTTTGATAATTATGACTAGTAGAGTTGTGGATTTTTCTAATTACTGTGCTTATTGAAAAAAATATTACGGGTCGAAGTTACCTTCTTTAAAATAGGCATGATTTTATTTTATTTTCTCTGCCTTACAAACGTAATACATGACATATCTGTGTTTGAGTAGAACCAATTTTATTTAGCTGGCTTTGATATTTTAGTAAACTGACCTATTATCAAACTTAATTAAAATGATTATTTAAATCTGTATCTTTTCACAGGTCTTACAATGTTTTGAGTTTTAAGGAAGTCTTGAGGTTATTTTAAATTATAATATTTTATATACTTATAACTTTCTTGACAATTAATAGAACATAAAAAATCTATGAGAAAGACACAGATTTAAATTATTAACACTCTTACTTTTAAGTTTGATAATATATTGGAAAAATTGTAAACAATTAAATATTAATTATTAAAATATATGCTTAATCTGGATGAAAAAAAGTGTATTGTTCTTACTAAATTAATTTATACTACTTTATGAAGTGAATCATGGCAACTTGAAGAGGGAAGCGTTTCAATTTTATTTAAGCTAAGAATCTACATAGAACTTGGGGGTTTTCACTTAGTTTTCATATAATTATTGTAAATAATTCAATAAAATAATAATTTGTATCAAAAAGCCTTATTATAATATTTTTTTCTAATTATTTCATTTTTTAAAAATATATAAACTTATGAAAGCTTTAATCAATTAATTTAAGTATAACTATTTTAAAATGTACAAGAATGATGGTAATTTTTATTATTTTATTAATATAATTCTAATATATTTTTGTTAGATAATATCTGTACAAAAGAATATCGCAAGGTGGAAAGAACGATCAAGTGGTACCCATTCTGATGTAGAATATAAACAATTACTAAATACTTTGGAACGAGAAAAAGGAAAAATGACCACTGCTCTTGATCAATTAAAATCTATGAAATCTGATAAATCATGTTTAGAAGAATTGGTAATATGCTGACAAATTATTTTATTCAATTAAATTATCTTTTGTTCTTGAAAATAATTTTATTATTGTTTAGTTGAAGAAACTAGAATCTGATCATTCCGAAGAAATAAATTCATTAAAACAAGAATTAATGAAGTCAAAAACAAAAATAGTTTCCATTAATAAGTCTATGGAAACATTTAAAAATATCATCCGCTCGTATAGACAGAAATTTACAAATGTTGCAGATGAAATATATAAAGTTAGTTTACCAAGCATTATCATATATTGTCTACACAAGTCCATGTGAAAATAGTGAAAAAAATATCGCGAAAATAAAAATTACGAAATGTTACAACAGCGAAAACATTAATAGCGAAAAGAAAGAAATTATTTTTGTTAGTGGGTATACCTTTATAATATAATGATATTAGATAATCAATTATGTAATTTTGTTCTATTGCGTCTTGGATCACGTAATAAAGATAAGTCGTAGTTAAACCTAACTGCTGTCAAGCTTTATGTATTATATATATGACTATTTTGTGATCATAGTGTTTATATACTGACACAAGTTTAGGAAAAATATCAAATATAAATTTTATTTTATATAGTATTTTAATTTTAATGTTAATTATTACTTATCTTATTATATTATAAAGAAATATCCAGATATATTACTTACTTTTCGCTATTAATTTTTTCGCTGTTAAAATATTTTGCGATTTTTACTTTCGCGATTTTAACTAGTTACATAGTTCCAACAAATATCTAAAGGAACATTTTGATATTAATTTACTTAAAAAAGTTATAATTCCATAAATTGTAATATTAAATTTTACTGCTATAAGTCATTAATATAACATTAAATCAAGAATTGCAACTATTAAAATAATATACTTTTTATCTGTAATAATATTTAATAATATTTTCATTCGAAAATAATTATAAATCCATAAAAATACAATATTTTACTATTTCTACATTTTTCAATATGATCCATAATTGAATCTCATATATAATTACAAATTCAATGAGTAAAATAAAAAAATACCTGTCTAGTATTTCTCTTTTTTACATAATATTTATATATAATTACGTTATTTTTGTTCATTGTTTACAGATACATTTGAGTGTTAGAGGCCCTTGATATAAATTCTAGTTATTTTTTGGAATTTCAAATAACTGACAAAGATGTAAAATCTACAAATTGCCAGTTGAATTTGTATAGGCTATTACAGTTCTTATAATTTTGGACTTATAAAAATGGGGCTGTATTTTCTAAAAACATTGCCAGTGTTTTTTGTGATAAAGTTTTCTAATTGAGTCCAGTTTCATCACAGTTATAAACTTGTTCTCAAACAAGTTCAAATTGTATTTTCAATTTAAATTATTCTTTGAATTCAGAAATTATTTTGCTAATAGCATATTTTGACAGTCTTATGGTTTTTTTTTTTTTTTTTTGAGAATGACTTAAAAAATTCTTGGTACATTTTCTGTCTAAGATATTACTATAGATCCTTAAATTATATCATTAAAAAATCTTATTATAACCAGTTATAATTGTACTTATTTTAATTATAATTATTTATTGTTATATGCAATTAGGTTAAAGTACTAGCTAGGCGTTATAAACATCAAAGTGAAGAATTAAATAGTACATTAAGTACCGAAAGAAGTTCATGGCAAACTAAGCAAGATGAACAACAGCAAGGGAGCAGTAAAATATCAATAGATATTGATGAACGCAAAAAACTAATAGAACAAGGAAAGCAAGAGCAAACAACTGAAAGTGAATCTCTCATTATTGAACTCAGAGCTAAAGTTAGTAACTGAATTTAATAATTCAAAAGTTATAATTAATTAATAAAATTAAATATCTATTTAAAATTCTATGTAATAAAACAAAAGTAAATAATAATAATTTATTTTAACATATTATAATGAATTATACTATTTTTATGTTTTATTAGGTAGCGGAAGCTGAAGCTGGTTTAAATGCTGCAAAATCTGAATTAGAAATGACAAAAGCAAAAAGTGATGATAAAGAAATGCGTGCAAAACAACTATTACAGCAAGTCAGAAGTAGAATTCAAAATGTTTCAAGAGAACTTGATAATACTAAAAGACAACGTGATGGCTTATTAGTTCGATTAGAAGCAGAAGGTGGTAAGGTTATGTTTATTTAATTTAAACTTATTAATTATGTAACATAAAATTGTGTATTGTATTTATTTAAATTTTCAAGAATAATTTATGTATGCTTTTTGACTATGTTAGGTGCTCGAATACAAGAATACCAGGTTCAAATAACACATTTAGAACAAGAAAATCGTAAGCTTATATCAGAAAAAGAACAGATTACATCAGAAAAAGAGCGTTTATCTAATGATATACAAATGCTAAACCGTAGAGTCACAGCTTTAATGAAACAATTTGCTAATCAACAGGTGTGATAAATATTTTTGCTTGTAAATAATAAATCTATATTGTGTGTAATGTATGGATTAATCATTGAATTTTTCTATTATCATTAAATAATTATATTTGATAGTTTGATAACAATTTTATGATCCAGGTAAAACCATCAACTAGTACTGGTTCTGATAAACCTTCTGTTGAGCCTCCTACAGCCAACATTAAGCCTTTAGGACCCACAGTTAATAAACCTCAACCTGTAAGATTAATATTTTGTATTCTACATGTTTTTCAATTACTTTAAAGTGAAAATTAAACCCTATTAATTTATTATGTATAGGTGCATCATTCTGTAACAGTTAACCCATGGCGATCTGCAGCTGCCGAAACTCCATTGGCTAGTATTAAACCTATGACTATGCAGCCTAGAAGTGTAGTAGTATTACCAACTAGTCAAACATCATCTACATCAAGCCAAAAGTATAGTCTGAGATTTTATTTTTTTTATATTTGATACAGTGTAGTAAATGAGTAAATTTTTATATATATTATTATTTATCATAACTAAATTGAAAATTACTTATATCTTATATGTCATTACAATTAATGATAACAATTAAGTAACACTAATAATTAATTTAATTTCAATATTTTAGTTCATTGAGTGGAACTAGTAGTAGTACAACTATTACTGTTCATCCACAACAACCACAGTCAATAGATATAAGTAGCAGTGGTGGTAATGCATTGGATTCGTCTGAAGCAAATAGTTCTGCACAAAGTCGTCATTTAACTAGCAGTACTTTAGTGCAACATGTTGAGGTTTATTATTTATTATTTATTGTATTAGTATTCATATGTATAAACACATATTGTAATATTATAGGGATCTGAATCTACAGCAACAGTTTCTGATTCTAATGAAACAACTGCTACTACACCCCCATCAATCTTGCCTCTCCAGCAAATTATAGGAAGTGCAGCTGCTCCAAGTGTTGCTGCTGCACAAGCAAGTCCAGCTATTAGTATTGCTTTGGTGGTACCACAAGGTAGAGAACAAGTTCAAACAACTGTTTCACAACCAACTACAGTATCTGTATCAACTGTATCTCCTTCACAAAGTCAAATAGACAGGTGAAAGATATTAAATAATTGTATGTATTATATAAATGTATTTTAATATATTTATATATTTTAGATACAGTGCTCAAAATGAAAATGGCTTAGCAACCGAAAGTAGCAGTAGCAGCAATATTGCTAGTTCTACAGCTCCTGGTCCTTTGACTGAATCAGAACCATCAGTTGTTACTGCTTGCACTAGTGGTCCCAGTTGCTCCTCTTTAGATACAACTACACATTCTAACAACACTCAAAGAAAACGAAAAGCTGATCTTCTTGTGACTTCATATGTAATAATTAATTATATAAAGTATTTTCTCTTAAATAATAAATAATTAATTAATAAATAAATAGTTCATATATAGAAATAAATAAATAAATGCTTAGGCTGGAGTATTATTATATTCGTAATGTACGATCGGTTTTAAATTAATAAATTCATCATCAGCTATATATAAAGTTAATTATTTATTACTTTATTTAAATTAATTATGTATATTAATTTATAAGTATTAACAATTTACTAATTTTTGTTTTATTTAAATACTTTATTAATAATTATTGATGATTTATTTCAATCACTTGATTTAGTTTTATATAAGATTTCAACTTAAATAAAATTATGAAAAAAATTCTAATATAAATTAATTTTATTTAAAAAAGTTTGATATATTAAGCAAGATATAATTATTAATGTGGGTGAGCTACAGGATTGGGTACTATTTATTATATTTGTAAGTGTATATCTTAATTAAAGATAAAAAAATTTAATTTAAATTATAATTTAAAGAAAAATGTAGAATTTAATTGAAATAATATAATGAAATAAAAATACTTAACTATTATTTATATAAAAAAACCATCTATTAAGTTCTGCTATTTCATGTTGATTTTCAGTAAGGACATTTATAAAAAATATTAATTTTGGTATAGTTTATTGAAATATTTTACTTCTTATTTGTTGTTTTTAAATTTTGTTTTATTATTTTTATTTTTATGATTATATAAAACACACAATTGATAATACCATTATAAAGTACAATACAAGGAAATCATAAATTCAATTAATTAGTTTCTTTTTTCTTTACTTATAATAGCATTTTATTTAATATAGTTTTTATTAACTTTTTAGTTAAAAAGATCTAAATCATTTATGCCCAGAGAAGAAAACCGGAGAGAAATGGAGTATGAAGCACCTACATCTTCTCAAAGGGATTCAGAAGTTAGTAATTCATATACCGGCCCAGAAAGTAATCCACAAGATAATAAGGTATGTCATCTCTAACTTGAATCGATTTAAGAATGTAGAATTTATAGTATAGTAAATATTTAGATTTGGAAAGTATATTAGCTTTAATATTTGACTATTGATCGTATGATTGTCAATTATAATTGAATTTTTACCCATTTTGAGAGAACTCTAGACTTAAGTAGATTACTTAATGTATATAGGCATTTATTTCTCTTTTCAATTTTTGGTTGAATTTTTTTGACATTTGTTCCTTTGTGTTACAATTGTGCCCAGGTTTTTTAATTCAATGCATTATAAAAATTAAAAATTAATTGCAGTGTATAGATACTCTTCATGTTCATGAAGTTATACTTAATACTAAAAAATGATTTGAATAAAAAAAAATATTAGAAGTAAAGTGATCTTATAAATACTTAAATGATTGTACTAACTAAATTTTTTAAATTAAGAGTATTGAAATCCATTTGTTTGTAAAGTAAGTTCTACAAACGTTATACTAATATTTATTTTATTATTCATATTTATAGGAAGTTGAGGCAAATACAGATATGGAAGTTACAAGTGAAGCAACCCATGAAAATAATGAAGTTGACCTAACAAGCCAAGAATGTTCAGCAGACACCAATAATATGAATGAAACAAATGATATGCAGAATGAAGAAACAGAACAGAGTAGGTTTAAAATCCTAAAATTTAATAAAGTGTATCATATTTATGTTTTTCATACATAAATCAAATAATTTATATATATATATATATATATATATATATTATATAGCAACAGGAGAAAATACACCAGAACATTCTTCATCAAATGCTGAAGCTACTGCAATGAGTGTTGTTGAAGAAGACTCTCCTGAAGTAATTTGCTTCCAAGAATTTCAAAACACACCTGTTTCTTCTGCGGTAATTATTCACAAATTATTTTGTTAATTATTATTTATATTTGTATTTTTACTGAAAAAAAAAATATTATTAAAGAGTTGCGAAGAAACAAAGACTACTGATAATGTAACATCAGATGCTGAATCAAGGCAGAATGAAAGTGATTCTACTCCCATTGAACCTCAAGCGGGTATGTCTATTATTCATAACATTATTGTACATAATTGTATTATTATTTGATATAATTTATAATTTTTTGATTTGGTTTTTAATCTGTCATTGTATTAATTAGAACAAAAACATTACTTATTGAAAATATTAATTTTGATATGCAATTTTATAGGAACATCAAGTGATACTATGGACACAGTTGGTGTTTCTCAATCTACTGAAAATGTTGAAACTGATACACTTGATTTGGGTAAATAATGATGTATTTAATTGTATATTTATGCCGATACATTAAACCACTTTAATTTTTTAAAAGTGATAAAATGAAAATAAAGTGTTTGTTATTTATATTTAAATTTGATAGTTCAAACTAAAACAATGATTTTAGAACAAGAAACAGTTGAAGTCTTATCATCAGAGAATGAAGAAGAAATAGGAATAAAATCAGCTCTTGGTAATTAAAACTTAAATGTAAAGTACATTGAAATATATTTGATTATTTTTTCAATTTTAAATTATAGAAGAAACTGAAAATAATGTCAGCCTTGATCCTGAAATTATATCTGTAAGCTCATCCCCCAGCAAAGATAATGAAGTTATTAGAGAAGAGTCGCCTGTAGCAGGACCTAGTGGTGTAACTAGTGATTCTTCAGCCAACGAACGCAAACCTATAACATGGAATGAATCTCCATAATAAGTTTAAGACAAACTATGAAGTTTATTAACAATTGATATTATAATACTATGGTGGTGCCGTAATTCCTAATGATTATTGTACACATTTCAAATAGTTATGAATCTTAATCATAATTTTATATTATTTATATAATCAACTATTAAGACATATTTACTATTGTAATGGTATAGAAATTGCTCAGCAATATCTTATCTACTTAAAACATATCCATAAATAATAGTAAATGAGACATTATATTTAGTATTGCTTAAAAAAAAAAAAATATTATTTCTCATTACTTCATTTTTTTTTTCTGATGAGGGATAGGATTTATATTATAATTGTGTTTGCTTAAAAATAAACTGGTTGATTACCTACAGTATTCCAAATCTTCATTATAAATATGATTTATATGTAATCAATTACTTTTAAGTTAAAATAAAATTAATTCATTTTTAATATTTGTTGAGCTTAAATGTTTTCCTTTAAAACATTTAATTAAATTGTTTAAAATAATAACCATGTAAGCTTTAGACTTTAAATAGATAATGCCTATTTTGTGTTAATACATTGTGTGTCTGTCTTTATTGATATTGGATTTTGGTGGCTACAAATTCTTTCACCAAATAAAATATTTTCTTTTTACCATTCGATAGTCAATGACATACAGTAAAGGTTAATTAGAGTAATAAGCTAATATCTTACTTATATATCATAATATTATTTGAAATACAAACTACTTCCCTCAAAATATCAGTATAACTTGAACACTAATATTAAGTAATTTCTACTATTTATTTAATTTGATATAGAAAATAAAATTATGTTAATGTTCTAGATAAGTATCATATAATTCTATATTGAAAGTGAGGTTATCTCTCACCAAGCTCATAATACTCTGTGTAGTAATCCTTGCTAAGAACTTTAAAAAAAAATAATTTAGCATAAGAAATGATGATTTTGTCTTATATATATACATGAGCGTGTTCAGACTTTGGTGGCCGAGGGGACACAAAAAATTATGACACTAGACTTGACTTTCACTTGAAAGATGCACAGACTGAGTTGTTACTGGAGTTAACATTGTTTAGACTATCCACTTGGACCAATAATTGTTTTTATCAACAACTTTAACTCTGGTAGTTCCTTAAGACATTGATGATAACCATCGTAAAAACACTCGAGAGACCTAGTTTTTAAGGAAAGACACATGTAATAACAATTATAATTTTATTAATAGTTTTATTAATACGGGATGACGTACCACCCGTAGCCCGGCGAGCGGTCGTAAGCGCGGTGTTGGTGGACGTCGGCGGGCACGCGTATCATCGTCGCCGTCCGCGACCAGCCGGCCACGGACAATTTTTTTTAATAATTAATTTATTAAAATAATAGGATAATTTTGCCCCCCCCCCCCCAGATAATACAACAGTTCAAATAGCACCTGTTATTAATGAACTCTTATGGATATTATTTAACAATATTGGTACTTAGTACATGCTACCTACAATTTATGTTCATCTAAACCATAAAATGAGTTAAAAGACTTATGTAAAATCAAACAATTATATATGGTGCATAAAATAAATACAATAAAAATGTGAGGGGGAGGTAACATTTTTCGTAACTGTTGATTTTTCCAAGAGCAAAATAAATTACCATCATAGGCGTGTTCAGACTTTGGTGGCCAAGGGGGTACAAAAATATTTAAATTATAAGACTTATATTTTTTTTTTGTTTAGACATGAATAATAAAAATACATTTAAAACTCAAAAAAAAAATACGTACATTTTACTACTATACTAAAACTAGGTAATGAGTACAGATCGTATTACTTTTTTTTATCCTGGCACGGTTTTGTTGGAGGAAAATCTCGCCGGGGAGTCAGTGGCCCACCCGGCCCCTCCCGTAAACACGCCTATGTATATATATATATATATATATAAGGATTTATAATATATATATAAATATTATAAATAGAGGGAAATGTTATAGAAACTATTAGACCAAAGTGATTGTAATATATGAAAGTACAAGTTTAAATTATTATTCATTACCTTACACCTTTAATTGATAAGCTAAAAATTAAGAGGGAACATCAGTTTTATTTTTAAATTAAAGCAAAAATAACACTTTACAGCTCTTGTCTATTAATTATGAATACTATAAATTAATTTACTTAAAATTGCATAAGTTATATAATTTGTGATCCTTAGTAAACAATGGTAGTTCATACATTTAAAAAGTTAAATAGCTAAACTGATCCGAACTAAAATTAATGATTTTTTTCCATGTAGAAATAAAATAGTTTAATAATTATTACTATACAAATTTTAAATATTAAGTTGTAATAATTTAAAATTTAATTACATTTATTTGGTTATTAATGAAATTATTTTGTTTGATCTAAAATTAAATAATCAAATCCAGAAGTGAAATTTAAAATTCATTCTTATTTATATAACAGTGGTTCCTGACCTTTTCGAAACTATTACCCAAAAACTGGGTGAGATATTAGTAAATACCCACTTAAAAACCCCATATTATTGGGTTATCGGTTATTGCAACCTAATTGGACCAATTTATGGAACCACAAAGAAACTTTATTTTTTGTTTGTACTCGTGTAAAAATAGTTTATTTTGCAAAAGATAATCGAGAGTACATTGTAGGAAGATAATACTACAATAATTATAATTAGAGGTTATACATAATAAGTATGAAATAAAAAAAGTCCAGTCTTTACCATTCAAAAAATCCTATTTTACCCCCAGGTTGGGAATCACTGTTATACAACATCTATGTTATTAATAATATGTCTTATATCCAACTAATAAGCACCATTACATTAAATATTGGAATTCTATTCACTTAACAATCTATAGAAATTTTTTAACTATATTCCTTTTTGAGTTTACTACTACAAATTTATTAAAATAATTTTGACTCAGAATATATTATTAACACTTATACAGATTTATAGTTAAATTTATTTAAAGTTTTTTATCAGTTACAGTTTAAATTTTAACTAGCCATAATTTCATGTCCTTATTACTTAGTAATGACTAATGAATAACAGCCTAATTTTTTAATGTACATTAATTATTAAGTTACTTGTACCTATTAGACTAAATATATATATTTTTCTTTAACTTGAAACATAATTACAAAGTAATTACTCATTAAATACAATTTTAATCGAGCCATAAACCCCTACAACAATTTTACCAAACTTTACTATCGGACAATGGTCACACCTAAATTTAGCCATACTTAATAATATGTCAGATCCCATGAGTTCAGTGGCTTTAGTAAGTAACTTAAAGTAACTTAATTTGTATTTATATTAATAATAGAATAATAAAATTATTAATTCATACCTAATATATATTTTATAATATTATAAAATCACTTGTTTTTTTAAAAAATTTTAAAAGCACACCTGCAAAAAATTTGAAAATAAGCACTGAATGAGTTTACCCTATATATTGATTATAACTATTATTTACCAATGACAACTAATGAAGTTTTTGAAGGAATTGTTGATAAAATATTGCTAATAAATAATAATAAATCAAAAATAAATTATTTTTAATTTATTACATGTTTATAATATTCATAGGCGTAACATTTTTTTTTACTACTATTTCAATCTTTATTTTGCAATTGTTGAAGAAGTTTATCTTCACGGATTTTCTTCTTTTCTTCTCTGATTTTTTTCTTCTCTTCTTTTTCTCTCTTTACCAACATTTCTTTAAACCGATCATCTTTAGGATCTATCTTATATCCAAAATGTTTTTTCACTTCTTCAATGAGTCTTTCTTTCTTCTCTTTGGCTTGTTGTGCATCGTGTATTTTTCTTGCTGCTTTCTCTTTAACCTCTTTTAACCATCCATTTAATTTCTTCATATTATCATCAATTTTTTTTTGGCGCATTTTAATCTCTTGGTTTTCACATTCAAGGCGGTTCCATGCATTTTGCTGCATTTCTTGGATAGTTAATGGATAAGCTACTTTTTCGTATTCTCGTATATCCTCTAAATCACTGGCCGTTGGCCATGCCAAACCTGGATTGACATTACTAGAATCTCCATACCTGCCATACATTCTTCTCTTATATTTCACTGTATGGTGGTATCTATGCACAGGTTTATTATATGGCAGTTGATCATTCACTAAATTACGATGACCATCATTCAAGCGAGACTTATTACAGATTTCTTTAATTTCATTTTCAGACATTACTTTATCCGCAGTAGTTGTAACAGTTTCAATCTCTTGAACTTCATTCTTTGAAGATACAGAACGTGTATTAACACACCAAAAATATGGTACTTTGCTAATTTTACTAGCATAAACAAAACCTCTACACGAAATGACTGACATAGTCGAAAGTGTAATCTTTATTAGTGATCGAATGAGTTAAATACGGTGAGTTTAAGTTAAAACGACTTGTAATAAAGATGTAAAACATAAAATGGGCACTGTTAACATGAAAATACTGCACGATTTTTTTCTTTGATGATAGCACATGCGAGATAACAAACATAATTATAATTGGTAATTGATAAGAATTGAATATAAAATTACTGACTTTAATTAATTAATTAGTTTTACTTAAAGTAAAACTAGCAGAAATAAAAAATACACATTTTTTTTTGCATTAAAGTTTCTAAGCTTGTATTCTTATCACCTGCCTTCGTTTTGCATTTTTTCTGTCACCATCTTTGTTTTTCAAAAAACAAAATTATATTCTAATTACTAATCAGGGGCGTACCCAGGAATTTTTTAGGGGTGGGATCCAAAGTTTTTATTTTATCTGTTCTCTAATTATAATTATAGTTTAATTCAATACCAACAAATGATTGTTAATAACTATAATAATCCTCTCAATCATGGGCGTCCCCAGGGGGGGGGGGCAAGACGGGGCACTTTCCCCCCCCTGTAATGTTATTTCCACAGCAATTGGTAAAATTCCCAATGAGAAATTAGCTTCTAAAAATAGGTTTACTTATGTTGCTATATGTCAACGCACGGCTACCCATAAAAACTATTATTAATAATAATCGGATTATTTTATTTTATCGTATTTTTTGGTGCTCACACGGTAATAAATTATAAGCTGTTTGCTGTTACATCATGTATATTATCGTATCGCTTACTTGACAATTTACCTATCATTATTATTATACATCATTATTATTACCCTCGCGGGTACTCCCAACAGTTCCAATGCAGCTTTCGATCGAAACAAGTGTCATCGCGTTCTAGCAGCAATAAATATACAAATCTCGACAAGGTAAAATCTTTTTATAACATTAATTATGGACATACGGAACTTTTTTAAGAAACTTTAATTAGACGATAGTTTAATGAATCGTTAGATAAAACAAAATTTCTGACTATAGAGACTAATTCCACAAGTGCAATTGACATTACTGACTTGAGTAAAGGTGGCAGTTTTACTGAACAAGTTGAAAATGTTTATGACAAGGAAGTGGCTTATTATAAAAATGATATAGGACACTACTTGGCAAATGTAAATATTGACGATTCTTTAAAGTTTGATATTTTATGTAATCCATGGGTACCAGCTACTTCATATAATTTTAAAAATGATCTAAAATCGGAAAATGGTTGTCCATTTAGACACATATGGCTGGAAGAGAATAATACGTGGCTATCATATTCGGCTATTGGAGGCGCAAAAGGAGCTTTTTGTCGAGTATGTGTTTAAGCCAAATTTTCACAGAGGTATACAAGGATGGTTTAAAATAAAAACGTTTACAAAATATAAAGATTTGCATGCTTGTTGTCGATCACATCTATCTTCACAATGGCATCTTGAGTTTACAACACAAGCAAATGATTTTTTAAATGTTATGAAGGGTAACAAATTAAATATTTTAGAACAGACAATTTCAGGGTTACGAAAACAAATAGAATATAATAGACAACAATTAAAACCAATAATTTCAAGCATTTTGTTTTGTGCAACTCATGATCTTTCTCTACGGAAAAAAACATAAACTTCAGGCATATTTAACGATATTTTACTTTTTCGGATTGAATCGGGTGATGAATTATTACAAAAACAATATCGGGAAATGCGGGAAATGCCAAATATACATCACCTCGAATTTAAAATGAAATTATTTCTATATACGGAAAGTTAATTAAAAATGATATAGTTAATTTAGCTAACGCGGAAAATGCTTTTTCTGTTATTGCTGACGAAACTGCAAATATTTTTAGAACAGAACAATTGTCAATAGGAATTCGATTTTTAGACAAACACTCAAATTCACCAAAAATTAGGGAATAATTTTTACGATTTACTCCATTAGAAAAATTAAATCCTCAATCCGTAGCTACAAACATTATATCATTTATTACTGACTGTGGTTTAAATTTAAACAACTATATGGGCAAGGATATGATGGTTGTGCTACAATGGCCGGACAAGAAGGCGGTGTTAGTAAATTAATTCGTGATAAATACACCAAAGCGTTATTTTTTCATTGTTCTAATCACAGGTTAAATTTAGTGAAAAGTGATTTAAATAAAATAATGATTATTCATAATACTACTGGAACTATAAAAGATATAAAATTTTTCCGTGAAAGTACGCTTATACGACAATTTATATCTAACATACCACTATTTTGTGAAACACGGTGGTCGTCTAAATATAAAAGTATAAGAGTATTTTCAGAACATTTTATTTCAATAATGACAAGTTTAAAATCATTATCAAATAATGAAGTACATTCGAATTCCAATACGAGGCAACAAGCTCATTACTTATATTCTGCAGCCTCAAATTCATCATTCTTAATTTCTATGATAACTATGGCGATGTACAGTGCTATTTTAGAACCTGTGACAAAAATGTTACAAGGTGTGTCAGTAGATCTATATGAAGTCAGCGAGCCAGGGACGCCCGCAGCAATGTAGCTCAAGGGGGGCAAAAAATTGCAAGTACCTACCTAAATACTTATAGGAAGATTTATCGCTACATCTTTCATTTACCCATACTTTGTAATAGTATCGTTAATATTTTTTTAAAAATCAAAACTAATTTAAGTTAATATAAAATTACACTATTAGTTCTAATATTTACAAAAAACATAATAAAGTTTAAACAAAAAACAACTTTATTTGATTTGAATTTACATATTACATCATTACATGTTCCATATTACATTATAATATTTATACATCACATTACATTTTACTCAAAAAGTAATGATAATCTTCTTTTGTTAGAAGCAAATAAATTTATTTATTTATCAATTTGTTGATTAAAAAAATTTTCATCATCATACCTTTGGCGGTGTATATTAATTAACCCCAAGCTACTCAGTCTTT